CATTACACAAGTAGCATCAAGATAAATTTCTAAACGGAGACTTTAATTACAGTACATTTGGAAAGAATATTAATTGGTAAGTTAATTGCCCGTGATGCTAATATATAGTGCACGTGTGTGTTGCATGTTGTTGGATTAGTTTTATGTTTATCTTTTTTTTATAATAAGTTTGGTGTTAGATGTAATTTGAGGATTTTTTGCCATCTTTTTATCATTAAAATCCTAGAGTAAATATAATCTTTTATGAGGTTTATTTATGATATTTCAAGGTCCTTTTTGCAAATTTTATGGCATATCTCTAAAATTATGAAGTTTCAGGGTTGTACTAAAATTTTAAGGATCACTCTATAATTTTTTTTTTAATTTAGTTTTATGAAACCAGAGCTTTCCAATAAAACTTATGGAATACCTGAAAGACATTATTCAATTTGTGATTTTAGAAAACATTAGGATATTTAAGTGCAGCAAGATACAAGTGGAGGTGTATACCTTTCGTACTATAAATTAATTACAATTCTGTCTAACTTGGTCCCTAAACATTTCAATACTACTGTAAAACTCTACATCATATTAATTATTACTAATGTATAATAATATATTAATAGACAATTGCATATTAATAAATTATTTATGAAAAGAATAGAAAACATAGAATTATCCTAGAATTATACCATGACACTCATATAGGAAAATTACAAAGAGTATTCTTGCGTTTAGGCAATATGATAGAATGTACAAACATGTAATTTTAGAAAATATTAGGATATTTAAGTGCAGCAAGATTCAAGTGGAAGTATATAACTTTGATAAACTATAAGGTATTTAAGTTCAATTAAGTCTATAATGATTTAAAACTTTGTTAACCACAAAGAATTTTATATGATCCTGTTGATAAATAATATTCATCATGTAATATGAGGCCAGATGCTTAGCTTATATTTATATAGTAGAGAATGTGTGGAAAAATTAAAGCATCATATTTTAAATAATCTTGAGATTTTGAATTATTTCTTGAAATTATATACATTGCTTAGAACTTTAGAAGAGGCTTTCGAAGGACTACTACAGAGTGTTGGACATCAGATAAATATTGGACAACTAAAATCTATAAAATCATATTGCAGAAATCAGGGATATGTAAAAAATAACAGATGTCATATGAGATAATATTTATACATAATATATCGTTGTAAGCTATAATCTAACATATTAATGAATTTTAAATATAAGAATTTGCAAGAAAATATATGCTTAAAATGTGGAAGAGCTGAGAGTGGAGAGATTTGGGAGACGAATTGTGACTTTTGTGGCTTTCGTGGGTTTCACTTTTGGTTCTCAAACATTACCCTAACCCTAGCCTATAATCAAATTAAAAATGACTCTATTTTGTTGATATCTTCAAATGAATGTATGGGTCAATATTTTTATAATGATTGATATATTAGAAAAAAAATCCTAAATAAAAGAAAATAATACAAAGCCATAAATATTGTCAAGTAAGGTCTTTAATTTGATATATCATCCAATATAGATATATATCGGTCGTTATTTTAATACATTGCCTATAAGAGTAATATTTAAAGATAATTTAAATATAAGTTCCTTGATTTTAGATCTCCAATTATTCTATATTATTCTCTCAAAATATTTTGAAATTGCTTATAATTTAAGGGACTAATATCGAGTTATTAAAAATTTGAGGGACAAAAATGTGAACAAGCAAAATTTTAAAAAAGTGTTTTTTTGAGAACTCTCTGGGATTGTTTCAAAAAACCCACTCAATTGGTTTAATTTGACAAAACATCCTAGCTATGAGGGTGTTATAGATAACCCCTCTTAACTTTGGTGCGATCTTGGAAAACACCCCTCGACTATAGCGTGTCTCATAAAAGCTCCTCTAATCTTTTACACTTCTTTCAACAAAACCTCTTAATGTGGTTACTTGAATATGTGATTTGGAGAAAATACCTTATTGAAGAAATCTATTTTAGTTAAAAAAATTCTCAACCGATAATAAAAGGATCACGACCAATTTATAATTCTTTTACCTTCTATATCTCCTCTTTTTCTTTAATCTAGTAAAAACTAAGCTATTTCTTTTATGCTTGAGGGATATTTTGGTCTTTCCAAATCAAATACTTGTCATATAATAGATTAGACTCAATGATATTAGTTATGAGCAGTTAAGTGAGAAAATTTTATGGGATTAAATCAAAGAATTGAAGTTGAGAAAGATTATCAGTTGAGAAAGATTATTTACAACACTCCAAATTTGATGAAGATTTACTTAGTTTCAAGTCAGCAATTTTCGTGGCCAAATGCCCGAGTTCAAGGTTTGTCACCCATATCCCTTTAGTGTCCTACTAACTTGGTGACTGGATGGGGTAGGTGGATGGGGTAGGTATGTACCAAATATGAATAGGACGAGGAACACGATGGAAAATGAAACGCAAGCTCTCTTCATGGTTGCTTGATTCTTTGTTTTTCGGTGACACAGAAGAGTGAATGTTCTAGGGTATTTATACAATGCGCAGGATGAACGTATATATGCGAAGCATTAATAACTTTCCTTTACATGAGTAGCGTCAAGATAAATTTTTAAACTGAGCCTTTAATTAATTGGTAAATTAATTTCCTTTGATGCTTATATATAGATAAATATATTTCTTTTCATAACAGCTTAGCCCTCCAATGGCAACAACACTTGTTGCTATTAATTATTATATTATTAAATTAAAAGGAACGATTATCGGTGTAAGTTAGAGGGTGATTTTTTCGCAGCTATCTTACGCCCCCATTAAGTTCTCTCATGGCTAAAAAAAGGAATAAAAATGGGAAAAATATCTAGAAATTGGTCTGAGATATTCAAATCCAAGTTCATCTGCTCTTGAAGATCAATCTGATGTATCTCTGGTAGAAGATGATGAAGATTCAAGTATTGAGATGGGGTCAACGGGCCCTAAGGGGGAGAAGAAAAAAGTATCGATGATGGAGATCCTTAGATCTAATGGCTTCTCTGTTGAATCTCGTCTTCCTCAAGCTTCCCCTAAGATTGTAGGAGTCCAATCTTAAAATCTTAGCAATTCGTCAATCTCTGATAAGATGCTCAACTCTGCTCCTGGTTGTTCTAGTCGATCTTGGGCTGATGAAGTAGAGTTGAGAAGAAATCTGGATGATCATCTTTCTCGAAGTTTTACAAATGATTCAATTAGGGAAAGGTTTTCTGATTCAGCTCAGGTAGCGGATCGAGTTTTGAATACTGTTACATCGAAATTGATTTCAGATCCAGTCTCTATGTTGAATTCTTATACTATTAGAGAATCTACTGTTAAAAAATCAAGGGAGAATCCAGATATCCTAAAATCTGCTGATTTTCGACAATTAAACCCCTTGATTGATAAACCTCCCCTTGATAATTCTGCTAAGAAAAGTTGGATTAGTATTTTTGCCGATAATAAGAAGCCTGGGAATGGTTTTGACTTGGATTATGTTCCACCTTCTTCTAAAGACACTGTTTCTTTTGAGGAGGATGAATGGAATGAAGGGATGTCTATATGGAAATTCTCATTGATTGGGCAGGTCATGGGTCTAAATGTAAAATTTAAGGCGATGGAAATCTTTGTGCATAAGGTGTGGGCTCCCATTGCTAATCCAGAAGTTTGTCTTCTTAAATCAGGAATTTTCCTATTCAAATTCAAAAGTAAGGAGGAAATGAGTGATATTCTTGAAAGGAGACCTTGGTTCTTTGGTTTGAGACCTTTGCTGTTGAAACCATGGGCAGTTAATGAAGAGATTGATAGCATAAAAGAGTGCATATACCCAATGTGGATTCAATTGCCAGGTTTAAGACTAAACTTGTGGAATGCAAGGAGTATTAGTAAGATTGTGAGCACTATTAGGAAGCCTATTACCACTGATAAACTCACTGCCAGGAGACAGAGGCTTGCATACACCAGAGTTCTTGTAGAGGTAACTCTACCAGCACCTCTCCCTGATCATATATCTATTCAAGGGCCTAATGGAGTGGTTTTTACTCAGAAGGTGAATTATGAGCTCAAACCAAGATGGTGTGATTTTTGTAAACTAGTTGTCCATGATACAAATTTTTGCAAAAGACAACCAAGAACTCAAAGATGGATAACTAAACAGAGTGTTAATACTACCGACAAAAGTGGGAATATGCCTCCCCCTTCTAGTAGTTCACATGTGCATAATAGCGTGGGGAACTCATCTATTGTTGTTGACCCTCCCCTAGTAGATAATGCTATTGGGAAGGAGAGCACTTCAGGTGATAGATTGGGGCCTTCAAATAAATCATACAGTGATACTGAACATCTAAAATTGAATGAACACAATCTGGAGTCTATGCATGTTGTGCACAGTTTGTCACTTGTGCATGTTACACACAGTCTGGAGCCTGTGCATGTTGTGCACGTCAAAAATTCAACCTCTAAAGACATATTGCCAGGTTCTGAAGTTAGAATATTACATAGATCAGGGGGTACAGGAAACTTAAGCAAATCTGGCAAGTTATCCCAAGGGGATAATTCCAATAGACCCCAAGTAAATTCTTTCTTTCCTCTGGATTTCTTGGAAGATATTGACCCTTCTACTTTGGATAGAAGGGATCAAGCTAAATGAACTTAACATTTTGGAATGTTAGAGGATTGAACAAATCCTCTAAGAAGCACTTGGTCAAGCAGCACCTATATTATTATAAATCCTCTTTTATTGCTCTAATTGAGAATAAAATAAAGGACAATATACTTCCAGCAACAGCCATAAAAATTACAAATAGTTGGAAATGGATATCAAATAGCAGGGGCTCTGGTAAAGTAAGAATTTTAATTCTTTGGGATCCTGATGTTCTGGAGGTTCAAACCTTAATGTCTTCTGATCAACAAATCTCATGTATGGTGAAATCTGTTGATGGGAGAGTAAACTGCATCATATCATCAGTTTATGGTTCTAACTAGAATGAAGCTAGAAAAGATCTATGGATGGAACTCATCCAAGTTAAACAAGGTATTGGTAATTCCCCCTGGTTACTTTGTGGTGACTTTAATGCTATGATAAGCAGTGAAGAAAAATTAGGGGGCTCAACTCTATCTGAGACTGATACTAAAGACTTCAATGACTTCATAGAAGAATGTGTGTTTTCTCACTTAAAAACTCTTGGCTGCTTCTTCACCTTGAACAATAAGCAAGAAGCTCATTCCAGAGTCTAGAGTAGACTTGACAGAGCTTTGGTTAATGATGCATGGATAAATACATACAATGCCAGTCATGCTGAATTTCTCCTTCCCAGTTTCTCAGATCACTCCCCTGCTCAAATTGCAATCTATGATGAATGTATACATGGGAAAAAGCCTTTCAGATTCTTCAAAATGTGGACAAATCATCCAAGCTATGTACCCACAGTTTCTGATGTCTGGAAAGAAATAGTTCAAGGATGCAAAATGTTTTCAGTTTGCAAAAAGCTCAAGCTCCTGAAAGAGGCTATTAAAACATTAAATAGAAATAACTTTTATAATATTAGTGAGCAAGTACAAAGAGCTAGAGATGCATTGGAGAATACTCAAAGGGAACTGCAAGCTCACCTTCTTCACCCAATGCTTATATCTCAGGAGAAAGAAAACATCTCAAAATACAATACTCTCGTAGATTGTGAAATGTCCTTCTATCAACAAAAGGCTAGGGTTAAATGGAATCTTCAAGGGGACAGGTATACAAGTCTCTTTCACAATATAGCAAAATCCAGAAAACACAACAATAGAGTGGTTGCTCTATATAACAATCTGGGAGTAAAAATCACAGAGCCTGAGGGAATTGTTAATGAATTTATTTCTTTCTACAAGAATCTCATGGGGACAGTTGTGAGCTCAACTCCTCTTGATAAGAGCATCATTAAATCAGGTCTTTGTTTGTCACCTTCTCAAGCTAATGCTCTTGGTGCTCCAGTTACCAAGGATGAAATTAAAGCTACGATTTTCTCTATATCTAAAAGTAAAGCCCCTGGTCCAGATGGGTATAGTATGTCATTCTTCAAATCTTCTTGGCCAATCATTGGAGAGGAAATCATTCTTGCTGTCCAGGAGTTCTTCAGAAATGGGAATCTGTTAGGTATGGTGAACTCAACCTCCATCTCTCTCATTCCAAAAATAAAATGTCCAAAAACTCCCTCTGATTTTAGACCTATATCATGTTGTAATTGCATTTACAAATTCATCTCAAAAGTGCTAGCAAATAGAATGAAAACTGTGATGGGATACCTTGTAAATGAAGCACAAAGTGCTTTTGTCAAACGGAGGTAAATCTCAAGCAATATCATGCTTGCTCATGAGCTGATCAAGTATTACAATAGGAAAAATATTTCTCCAAGAGCTATGGTCAACATTGATATCAAGAAAGCATTTGATACCATCAGTTGGGGTTTCATTTCAGACTTGCTTCTAGGATTGGGATTCCCAGATTCTATGATCAAATGGGTTATGGCTTGTATCACTTCACCAAGATATTCAATATCTCTTAATGGATCCCTTCATGGCTATTTTAAAGGTGAACGTGGCTTAAGGCAAGGTGATCCTCTCTCCCATTATCTCTTCATCTTGGGAATGGAATACCTCTCTAGGAAGCTGGGTCTTCTACACCATGACAGGATGTTTAAATTTCACCCTAAGTGTAAACAACATAAAATTACTCACCTAGTCTTTGCGGATGATCTCCTCTTATTTTCTAAAGAAGACCATTACTCAGTGCATAAGCTTCATCAATGTGTTCAAGAGTTTGGCAGAATTTCAGGACTGGAAGCCAACCCTGACAAATGTTTAATTTTCTTAGGGGGGGGGGGTTGATGATTCAACAAAGTTTTCAATCAGAAACCTACTGGGGTTTAATTTGGGTGAGCTGCCTTTTAAGTACCTAGGTGCCCCACTTGCAACCAAGAGGATATCTTCCCTGGATTGTAACCCTCTATTTACAAAAATTGAAAATCAATTCAATACATGGCAAAAACATAAAACTCTCTCATATGCAAGGAGACTGCAAGTGATCAAGAGTGTGATATTGGGTATCCAAACTTTTTGGTCTTCAAGCTTTGTTCTTCCTGTCAGGGTTATGCAGAGAGTTGATGCATTGTGCAGAAGGTTTTTATGGGGTAAATCAGATCAGAATTTTAGAACCCCGCTTGTGTGTAATAAAATGTGATTATCAGTTTCTATGGGGTAAATCAGATCAGAATTTTAGAACTCCTCTTGTGTCATGGGAGAGAGTATGTTTAAGAAAGGATCAAGGAGGATTGGGTTTGTTTTCTGCTCCTATATGGAATTATGCCTCTACCTTGAGGTGTATATGGTATATTCATACAAACAAAGAATTATTGTGGATTAAATGGATTCATGGTACATATTTGAAAAATAGAGACATATGGCATGTGAATATTAGAAGGGGGGACTCATGGATGTGGAAACAATTGATTAAGATAAGAGACAAAACTCTTTCTTTCGGTGGAGGGATGAAAATTTTGAAGAATATGATATGTTCCTGCTATGTAGAGGGGAAAATCAAACTTTCAGCCATGTATCAGGTTTTATACCCAAGTACTAGCAAGGTATCATGGTCAAAGCTAGTTTGGGAGAGTTTTAATATTCCAAAACATTCTTTCATATGTTGGCTAGCTATTCAAGACAGATTGCTAACACTGGATAGAATTTTGAAATGGGAGATCACAAATTCCAACATTTGCTGCTTGTGCTCTGCTTCAACGGAATCCAGGGATCACCTTTTCTTTAATTGTCAATTTTCATGTTGTGTGTGGAATGACATACTGGATTGGCTAAAATGTAGATGGAAATCTAGTGACTGGAATCAATGTCTGAACTGGTTCTCTAACAGCTTGAGAGGTAAAGGAATAAATCAGAAACTCAAAAGGATGGTCATGGTCACTACGATATACATACTATGGAGAGAAAGGAATAGAAGACTGTTTCAGGGGACAAGTAAAGGTGCAAATGCTGTGATCAAAGAAATCAAGATGGAGATTTTGTACGTTGCTCTCAATAACCTAGATTGTGTCAAAGACCAATGTAATCTCAGTTTCAGTTGATTGAGGGTCTTTCAGGTTTCTATATTTGCTACTCAGTTAAGTGTTTAAAAACTGAATATCTTGAGGTGTATTAAACTTTCAAAATTTGATAGTGAATAAAATTTTTCATTCACCAAAAAAAAACACTTGTTGCTATTAATATACATCCATGTTACCCGAATTCACACGGAGGAAAAGAATATCAGGCGATTTACTAATAATTTTCAATCAATAAGCAAATAGTAATAAAGTAAGTAAAAAAAAAAGTCAAGACTTGATACCTACTAAGATTCTAAAATAAGTCCCTAAAATTACTAAGATTCTCCTTAGGTGTTTTGAAAATTTAGTCCCTCAAATCGTTTGGTTTCAATTATGTTCACCAATTATCATAAATTCTTTCAAATTAGTCTGTGAAGAGCAGGAGTTGCAACTGGGAGGATTATTTTTAGACAATTTATGAGAATTGTGTCGTAATAGAAATTTCAATGTTTTAAGGGGCTAGTTTTGAAATAGATTAAAAGTTAGGGAACTTTATAACAACTTTATTGATTTGAGGATCTAATTTTGAAATAAGAAAGTTTTAAGGGACTAGAATAACATCCATTTTTATGTGTAACCAACAATTGGCAGTCAGTTGACTTATATTCATCAATCCGGTGGGGTCCACATGAAAACGAGTTACACCCAGCACACCCAAACTTGCGAAGGGGGATTGCTCTCAGGAATAGACATCCTCTATGTGTTAGCCTTCATGTTTTGATGATGATTTACAAACAATTTACTTCTAATGTTGTTTGTCTAGTGTTTGTGTTTTTGTATCAATTGTTGACAAACAACAAGTTAGAGGATGGATGGATTGCGTCATAACGATCATATCAAATGGAGGTTGGCGGAATAGTGGTTGAAGCCTTACTATTCAAGTTAAAGATCTAAGTTCAAGCTTCATCCGTAATGTGTACCAAGTCAAGCTTATTAAAGATCAAAATCAAGCTTGGGTAACATTAGTTTAGGTTTATATTATGTGTGTTGGTACTTTAAGCTCAATATATATACATAGTTATATATATATACACAATTTAGTTTTGGTATATATAGGTATATGTATACATACATGCATGTTTTTGTTTCCAAATTTATATAAATATAAAATTACATCTTTCATATTTATTGTTTTGGTTTTTCAAGTTTAAATATGAAACAATTGAATATTATTGGAAAATATATTTTTGTTTCATGTTTTTATGCTTACATATGATTTTATCAATATCAATTTTATTTAGTTCAATGAAATCATGTTTATTGTTTTGAAAGTTTGCAAAAAAGGTATTTTTGTGAAAATATTATTTTTTTGGTATATGGACTTAACAATAATGATATACATCTTCTATTAAGTCTATATATTCATTTTGTAAACTTTCAAAACATGGTTAAGCTAAAATATCAAAACTCATGTGTTTACATTTTCATGTTTTGAACTATTTTGCAAAATAATAATATTTTACATTTGGGAGGTCCTTTTAGAAAACCAGTTTTTATAGCATGTGTATTATCATATCTACAATCATTTCCTAAAGTTTTATATTTGTCTGAATTTATTTGATATTTTTAAACCCAGTTTAAAGTTGAGTTTTTCTGTGCACTTCAGGTCTATGCATGTTTAGTCGACTCATGAGTCGACTCATAAGTCGACTCACGAAGTGCAGCGCTGCTGTAATTTTTCTTCTGCTGAGTCGACTCATATAAGCCGACTCATTAGTCGACTCATAAGTTGACTCATGAGTTGACTCATAAGTCGACTTATGAAAGAGCCATTGCACAGTAACGACTAGTTTCCAGCAGTGTTTTTTGGGGGCTTTTTTGTCTTTTCGGTTGGGTTTTGGCTGAGGTTTTGGGTGGCTATATATACCCCCTTGCTCTCATTCTTCATATCAATCCAAGAGAATGTTTTAACAAAGTTTTAACAAGGGTTTAAGTTTTGTTTAGTGTTTGTTTAAAAAGCTTTTAAGCAATTAAGGGTTTGAGTTTGTGAATTCAATTCCACAAGAGCTTAAGGAGATCATCTATTAGAGTTTGAGCAATCAACTATTCTCCCTTCATCTCTTGTCATCTATTGAGAAGTTTTTTAAACTCTTTTCTAGCTTTTGTTTGTTGGAAATTTGATGTAAAAAGACAAAGAAAGAAAATTTGACTTGTATTCTCTCAAAAT